TCCAAAACAACTACATACTCACACACGTACCATATGAAAACACAGCCAAACTTTATTTTCTATCCAATAACAGAAAATATTACAAACATACCAAAGAGATTTCACAATACAACACACAGGATTTAAATCAAAATGTCTATTGGTTAGAAATTAACATCATATTTGAACTTTTTGACCAATCAGAGAAAACTAAAACCCTATTTTTCTCGAGCCTACTTTCATGGAAAGTTTCATGTACAAACCTACACATTTCAACTTTCAGCAACAGAGATTTGACTCTCTCTCCAAGCCGTTCAAACAAGATAGATGACGTGGCTGCATAGCCCTTTCCTTTTTGTTGCTTTGAGCTACAAGGAACGGGAAGTCGTGGAGAACCACAATTATCCACTTTCTGAAGGGACGCCACATATAAAAGACACCCGAACTATTCAGTAACGAATCTGGATACCATTGTTAGTTAATCATTGTTATACTAGAACACACCTATTCTATAGTTAATAGACTCTCCCACCTATAATAAGTAGGAGTAGTAGCAGTCGCTGAGTCGCTCAGGGGTCAGTCAGTTGGTGTCGGACGACCTTTAGTCGGATATTAAAGTATCAACCACTACAACTAGATTACTGCGTTATTATCTATTATATCAAGTTCCTAACGTTTTGTACGTCGAACCTATTTTAGGACCGACTTAGTACAAATACAAGCCTCCTCTGTGAAACCACTAAATAACAATCATATGCCGTATTTTCTTGTTTATAACAAAACTTGAATATAACACACCTTTGAGTCTAATACAGCCCCGCAGTACAGCCATCCAGGTGTAAGTTTTAAAAAAAGTTTCAGTATTATTCATTAAAATCTCAATGCCGCACATATAATTTTGGAGCGAAAACGGAAATGAACACCAAGACAGCCTCCCCTCAAATTACCAAAAATGGTTTCTGAGTCGGAGGATTCACGCATGTTTCCGGTCAATAAATTAATCATTAGAAAATAAATATTTAAACAATTTTCAATCAAACGTCACGTTCCCGCCGACAATAAAACACATGCTTTGTGATCCATTTGTATATTATATAAGCAAAGTGACCAGGCAGACAAGCCAGTAAGGAGAAGGGACGGCAATATATTGTAACAGATTCACGACACCACGGCTTAAAGTACATGCCCTTACTCTCTCACCCGTCTTCTTCGCCAAGCTACGTGACTCTTACACTCTTTCCCCACCAAGCTACGCAATACTTACACTTTCCTTCTCACTTTCTCCATTGCCTCTCTTTTTTCACACATACACGCAGAGAAATCACATTACTTTTCATCAAAACAAACAGCTACACACAAGAAACTTTAAGACTCATATAATATGAGAAAAAATAGTTGTAAAACAGGAAAATAAAAACATTTTATATTTAGAAACATTTCTCCCCTTTTTCTTTGCTGTGGGTTGATTCAACATAGTTCACTAAAATATTTACCGGATGTTTAGCCATTGAGTGTTTCTTCTAATTTCCGTTTCAAAGCTTTCTTTATACAATCAATATTTAAAAAAAAAATAAATTTAAAATTTAAAAAATATTTTCAAGTTCCAGACTTTACACTATTTTTAAACAGGTTACGCAGAGATTGCTAACTTGATAAGTATTTAAACAAAGCCTGGTTGTCGAAATAAAATGAACAAAATAACAATGACTGCAGTCTAGTCAAGCGGGCGCCACGCTTTCGTCAGAGACGAGGTGCTAAAGGTCAGCTTCACTCGTTGAAGGAGATGAAATTTTAATTTTTTTACGCGAAGTTTTTTTTTATTTAAGACTGATAGCGTCAGCATTGTCGGTTTAATTTAGCCGATATACGAAGTAGATGATAAAGGAAAGGGAGAAGAAAGGACTAACTATCTAATTGTAAAGTGACAGAATATAGAGATGTCGGCAAAAGAAACAAAGTAAGATACGAATTATGAATTGGATGCAAGAAATCAAGCAAATACCGTATCTTCCAGCTTACAAGACACTATTTTTTCCAAAAAATATTCCGAAAAAATACGAGTGCGTCTTCCAAGACGAATATAAAGACACGCCCAGGCTCAAGTAAGCCCAATTGGCTTGAGTGATAGAGACGTATTATTTAGATGTTGAGTTATTACACTATGTTAGCTATCAATCTAATTCAACCTTTTATATGATGTAAACTCGGTACTGGGTACAAGTAATTCCAAGACTATAAACCTTCCTGGAGCCGAGCCATATGCTCTGTTTACTAGCAGCGGCGGGAGCTCTTGACTAATATGTCATTGCCATACAAGCAAAATCGGACAAGTGATTAATGTAAACAATACGTGGCGCCAGTATGTGAGGGACGCATGGTGAATGTGTTGTTGTCGGAGAATGACTTTTTTTTCTTAGAAATTTCTTTTCAATATTAGGGTGCGTCTTCCAAGCCGCAGCGTCTTGTAAGCCGGAAAATACGGTAATTGAAATATCTACGAGGATATGACGAGGTAATTGTTGGGTATCCCAATTGGCTTTCGCATTTCGGTGTAGCGTGTTCCGTCCTACGAGTGTCGTCTGAAAAGTTCATGGGCTGACAAAGATACTTGCTTGATATGTGACCAAATGAGGTGTATTTTTCAATATAATTTCTCCTACTGCTCACACATTCTTCCATCAGCATTGCAAAGTTTGGATTCCATTGGCGAAGAAGCTATCATCATGTGGATCAAAAAAATCATCAGTAGCAGAGATGATGTCATCATGATTGCAATACTGTTTCCCAAGTAAGTGTATTTAATCATCTTGAGGAACAGAAGAGAATAATGCCGGGGGTGGGTGGGGGCGATTAACCAGTTCAGAACTAGAGTCATGCATAAAAGACATTGAAAGTAAGGAATTGTCAGCAAATGTCTATTGTCCTAAGTGCTTTCGGTAACTTCTTTAGTCATTTTCAATATTTAATTTTATATACATATATATATTTTAAAAAATAAAATAGGAATATATATTTCACTATTTTAAGAGAAAAGTTTAGTTTGTTTTCTATGTTATATGAGTGAAGCAAAACAAGCGTAGATGAAAACAAAGAAAAAACAAAGAGTGGTTCTATGAAAATATTTGTAATACAAAGTTTTGGACTATATGGCAATGAATGCTTGGACAACAGATGATCACTTATTTTAAAGAAGAGACTTGGTTCTAAATTCTTCCTTAAAAGGAAAGAGAAATAGTTAATATTAACGATAGCAGTGAATGCTTACAATTTAAAACAGAAACAAAGCTGACAAAAAAGTTTGGAAGGCTTTATAATATCTAATCTCCTATATGGCAGTGAATGCTGGACAATCTCCTCACAGATGAAGAAGAGACTTGAATCGACAGAATGTGGTTCTACTGACTTAGAAACAAAAAATAATGTTCTTAGAAAATCTAAAGAAATATGTTTTGTCTGTTGGAAAATCCTCACAGATGAAATATCTAATATGGTGATTAAAGTGTGATTAGAAACAAAAGAAAGTGTTCTTGAAAGATGTAATATCTAAAATTTTGTAAATTGGAATGCTAGACCAGTGGTTCTACGAAAAGATTCTGAGAATATCATCGACTGAACATCTGAACAAATAGAAAAAATTCACACACTTAGAATCAGATAAACTGTTGAAATTTCTAGTGTACATAATGATGAAAAACTACTTAGGGAATTTGACTTCTACAGAACGTATTGATGGTAGCAGAAACAGGGCAAAGCCGCTAATAACCCATTTAAAGTGCCTTTGTGTATGGTTGGTGGTAAAGGGATTAGGTGAGATAGCAAAAATGCAAGCCTTATTAAGTACAAAGCCCAGGGAGTTGTGGAGAGGCATTTTAGCTTGGTTTGCATTTATTTTCTTTTACGGCATATCAACAACTCGTGTTATTGAACGTCAATACGATTTTTAATAAGAAATCAGTTTGTAAATCAAGTTTCATTGACGTATTTTTGTAAAGAGGTTTTTTTGTCGATAGTCTGGTTTGGTTTGGTTTGGTTTATTTTGTTTTACGGTATATCAACCCCAATATGTTATTTAATACCGGCAAAATTTTAGGATAGGTTTGTATGAAGAGAATATGTATTCCTTGTAAGAAATCAGTTTGTAGATCAGGTTTCACTGACGTATTTTTGTAAAAAGTGCTATCGTCCAGAGTCATATATATTGCAGGTATTTTTTTTTCAAAAATGCATTGCTGGTATTTTTACTAGAAAATCTAGTTTTATACTTTCATAGTGTTTTGACTCCGATTTTGTAGGGGGATAACTATTTGCCCATAATCTGCTATGAACGCTGTGGCATATTCATAACTTATGTTGTTAAGATTGTGGCCGCCAATAATGAATCCTTATCTCAGAATCGGTTATATTTTGAACAGGACTAGTGAAAAATTTTGCATAGTGAAGTTTAATGTAATCCAATGTAGCCAGCAAAAGAAACATAGATATTAAAGATTTTTTGTAATTTAGCAGGGAGCATGAAGAACAATGATGCTAGAATTTTGATCTTTCTTTTATTGTTGTATTTAGATTAAATAATAACAATATTTATAAATCAAATATTCTTCTGCTTTCCTGTTTACGACTTGGCTTTTAGAAGGCGTTTTTCTCTATCAAGATGCACCTCAGGATTTCAGTGTCGCATTTTCCACTTATGTATATAATTTTGGCATCTCCAATTTTATATATATATATATATCTATATTTTGCTAACGACCATATATATTTTTAATATATATCATTTATTTTGAAGGTTATTTAAAGCCATAAAAATTTAGATGGTAAGCATTGTGTGGTGGGAGGAGAATAAAGATGTAGTGATACGTTTTACAAATTAATCCATATCTATGGAGAGAAGAGGTGAATTCATGCCTTTCCCAAAGGTATTTCCGCGTAAGTGAATATAACGAACCCAACTGGAATTGGACCTCGGTTCTCTTGTTATCTATCCCAAGCCATTATCCATTATACCGCCTGCATATCTAACCTGACAGCACCTGGTATTTCCGAGCGGTCACCCATCTTGGCAGAGCAGGCTCGACGTCGCTTAACTTCGGTGATCGTACAGGAACCAATGTTTCAACTTGATGTGGCCGTAAGCTCTTGTATAGGTTGAATAAGTCCGCTGAGAAGAAACATCCTTGTGTTAAAAGCCTTTCTATTTCCGTGTATATTTTTTTATCATTTATCATGGGCAAGGCAATAAAGCCACTAAGACGTAAGCGGTTACTAAGTGTAACAGAATTTGAGAAAAATTACCATTATGGAGCGAGACTAATAAAAGAAGAGCAATTAAGAAGACAAAACATATCGATTGACATTGCATTTAAATTTTTGAAGATCAAACTTGACTGGGAAGCAAGAATCCAGAAATGAGTTTCACAAGCGAGAAGTGTTATAGAAGAAACTATTAGTAGAGGACTTGCGGCATATAAAATTATCTAAATCTTTGGATCGTTTGTATTATAACTTTACTGTATTTTTTTTTATTCTTGTTTTTTTAATATAATATTCTTTGTTTTAATCATTTCATTCCAAACAAGGCAAAAAACGTCACTAAGGTACAAGGTTTTACAGATTGAGAGAATATGAGAAAAAGTAAACATTATTAAAAAAAAAAGTACAGAAATTAAGATGGGAGATAATGGTTGACGATGCATTTCAATTTTTGAAGATCAAAGTTGACTGGAAAGCAAAAAAACCGAAAGAGAGTTCCACAAGCGAGAAGTGCAATAGGAGACACTGAGCGTAGAAGTTTTTTTTTATATCTACCCATTTTTTATTTTTAAAATGATAAGACCTAACAGCCAATCTAGTTCATTTTTAAATCTATAAAGCCTAGGTAACATAGCGGAAAGTTCACCAGGAAACTTACCATCAAAATATTTATAGAAAAGGTAAGTTACAGCAGTAGAAAAGGACTGAAACCCAGAATTTAGTGAATTCATTTTCTAGACTTTTAAAAGGGCAAGAAAATATATTTTATTTATTAAAGACATTTTTTATGTTTAACGTTCTTTTTATAGATACAAGTATTTAAGTAAATGCGCTGTTTATAATAAACAGTATTAATTAACATTTACCGGCCTGAATGTCCGAGAAATTTTCATAGAAAATATTCGTCCTTTGAGAGGATTCGAACCTGCATCCTATACGGAACCGTCATTTAGCTTGACGTGCCTTAACCGATTCGCCCACAAAGGATCGCTCGGTCAGCAATGTCGAATTTACTGCTTATAAACTTCAATCTTCCATGAATCTCGTACATTCATAACTGCTCATGGCGTATCAAATGTAAACAAATGACGTCATATATTAAGAAATGGACAAAGTCCGACAATGTATTTATTAATTTAATTTAAAAATTTCTTAAATTCAGGCCGGTAAATGTTATTTAATACTGTTTATTATAAACAGAGCATTTATTTAAATACTTGTATCTATAAAAAGAATGTTAAACATAAAAAATGTCTTTAATAAATAAATTGTCGGACTTTGTCCATTTCTTAATATAAAATATATTTTATATCGCCACCTACTTTGCGGACGAATTGGTGCATTTTCATAATGAAATACGATAACAACCACATATCCTTCATTGTTTAATTCAATTTGGATCTTTAAAGTGATTGTGTAAAAATTATATTGGCATTCTGAAAGACGAGGCGTGTCGACGAGCTGTGTAACTTCCGCACGATTACCTATAATGTTACTTAACACGATTACGAATTTGATACCACAGGATTTTGTGGTATAGATTTCAGTATAAAGTTCGAAAAAAAATATCAAGTATTGTTCAATAACAACTGTTGGATTATTAAAAGCACAGAATAAGTAGGACATTTTGTGTTCATTTTTTTAAAAGTCAGTTCATCCGGAGCAGGGCAATAATGCCACTAAGATGCAAGGGGCTATTGGAAGTGCAAGAGAATGAGAAGTCTTTAAGAAACCTAATCCTAAAAAGGAAGCGGAGACCCAATCCTAAACAGGAAACAAGGGATAAACCTCTACTCCTGTTCAAAGACCAGGGAGGAGACGTTAGAAGTATAGAGTTGAAGTAGACTTTTCAAGGAAGCGGAAACCCAACCCTAAAGAGGAAACAAGGGATAAACCTCTACTCCTGTTCAAAGACCAGAGAGGAGACGTTAGAAGTATAGAGTTGTAGACTTTTCAAGGAAGCGAAACCCAACGCTAAAGAGGAAATAAAGGATAAACCTCTACTCCTGTTCAAAAGATCGAGGAAACTAAACCGGGCGATAGGTGAACATATCTATTCGTAATGAGAGGAAAAATAAATAGTAGATAAAATTTCAGATTTTAGGCGGAGACGTTAGAAGTATAAGGTAAACTTTAGAAGGATCGGGAAACCTAATCCAAAACAGGAGACAATGGATAAAACTCTACTTTCATTTCAACGGCCCGAACGATGTAAATAGGGTAAATAATTAATTTCATCTCCAATAGATTCGCGTGGATTTTTAATCCTCAAAATATATCTGGAATTTAACACCGTTGACCTTGCCACATATAAGGAATGTTACTTCATCGGAAAACATTAAAAAATTGAATTTGGTGGACGATAGTATTAATTATCATCAAGTGCCAAATGTGCTCTTAGGGTCGAGGTGCAGATAAGTGCCTTACCAATTCCCTTTGCATATCTGGCCTGAAAAGCCAGAACGGTGTTCATTTATGCGTAGTGTGTCTTGGGTAAGTAGATCAAACGATGTTCATCCCTCTCCAGGTACAAACCACAGTCGATGTCTTCCAAACATGAAGGCTCACATTGATCATGCTGTCGATTATTCAGTAGGGTCCGCCCCGCCGACTTGTCGGTTGATTTCAGTCTAGGAATCCCCGCTTCTCAGTGATGCGATGTCATCGCCGCCGTCTCTGTAATATTGGCTAAGGAAATCCAGCCTGCGTCATTGTGCTCGACGGCCATTGTAATTAAACGAAGATATATTCGTCCCCGTCAGCGTATAGCCAACCCCCCACTCGGATAGCATGGCGGGGGAACCGATTTATTCCATAATTATCCGACAATGCTCTAGGTAGAATTGGACGAGATGGTACCAGCAACACTCGTAGAATTACTTGTTACATATATAAACAATTCAAACAATAATAGCACTAATATTTCTGAAGCAGGCATTTATAAAATAAATTGCCAAAATTGTTCCTCCCAATATATTGAAGAAACAAGTAGAAGTTTGAAAAAACGCATTTATGAGCACAAAAGAGACCTCACAAAAAACAACTTAGCTAATGCAATAGTCATACATAGAAATAAATACAACCATAATTTTGATTTTAAAAATGCTACACTATATAAAAAAAGAAAATAACTCACTCAGAAGGAAAATTCTGGAGAGTGCCGCCATAGAAAATTACCCAAATATTAATTTACGCCCAGGCTTTTTTTTCCCTATTTCACCTTTCTTAACAAAATTAATGCTCTTACAAACAAATATGCACAACAGATTCATAAAATCGAAAGAAAATGGTTGAATACATCAACACAGATATAATGACAATATTCTCCACACGTGACAATCTCTGACGTTATTTTTCAGTTAAAAATATGAAAATAGCGTTTCTCTACATTCCAGTTGCTAGGTACATTCTGTTTTTTTTTTTTTATTAGTTACTTTGTTCATTTAATTTCATTTTCGTATTTTGCTTTGATAAAGTCCACATTGGACGAAACGCGTCAGCAATTACCAGTTTTCCTATTGTTATTTTTATTCATATATATATATATATATATATATATATATATATATATATATATATATATATATATGTTACAAAAATACACACACAAAAACACACACACACACATATATATATATATATATATATATATGCACATTTTATTGAATACGACAGAGAAGGTGCTTTTATTTAGTTTTTTTATACAATTTCTCATGCGATCTAATAAGTTTTTTTTTTTCTCTTAGGATATAATATATAAAACTTTCCAAGTGTTCTTTTTTATCCGAGCGCTTTCGGCTATACATTTAGCCATTTTCAAGGATTAAGTTTTTATATAATTTATCATCCGAAAAAAAAAAGAATTATTCAAGATCGCATGATAAATTGTTTAAAAAATTTAAACAAAAACCTGTAAAATCGTATTCAATATATTTTCAAAAAATAGCCCTGAATTTATAAACCCAAATCAATTTCTTCTTCCTCTGTCCTATGGGCTAAATATCAGGATGAATGCGTTCTCTGGCCTTGGTTGCCAACCGGTCTAGGAGAAAAACAATTTAAACCAGAGTGAAAACGAAAAAAATTGCCCTGTCAACACTTGGTTTCTATTAAGACAATTAAGTGATTCATTGAAAAAGCTCCATCATATAGCTGTTTGACAAATAGTAAGATACTATTATTTAAATTTATATTGAACCAAACATGTTTAATGTATCTTTAGTAACAGTTCGGAAGTTTGGAAGTTTGGCGATAGCCTGAGTCGTAAAAGATATTCAAGGCAAAAGGAATCCTTGAGAAAACTTCCATTTAATAGAAAAGGGGAAATTTAGGGGTCTGCTTGTTGATTGTGGAACATATATATATATATAAGCTGTAAAGTAGCTATTAAGCAGCTCCCGCTCAGATATTATTTTTAATCATTTTAACCCAAGCAAGGCAATAAAGACACTAAGGCGCAAAAGGTTATTGAGTGTGAGATAATATGAGAAAAATAAGGCATTATTCAGGAAGGAGAACAATAAAATTGCTGGAATTCAGAAGACAAGATAACGATTCATATTATATTTAATGGTTTGAAGTTCAAAGTTGACTGGAAAGCAAGAAGCCGAAAGGGAGTTCACAAGCGAGAAGTGTGAGAGAAGAAACTGTTAGCATAGAACTTACGGTTGCATCTAGCAATTTCAAATGTAGAATGAGGAGACCTAGCCTCCAATCTAGCACTGCACTTAAATTAATAGACTAACAAGTGCTACCAGGGTGGAGCTGGGAACAAAAGCAATTAACAGGTGGTTACACGTTTCTCAAAACCTCCTGATCAGATGCCTTACTGCTGGATGTAGTTTATCGCCTTACCCAGGAAACAGATGTAGTCTATTGTCTT